CCTGGTGTAATATCATGATTGGCATTCATACTTAGCTGCCAGGCCCTGAAGGAAAATCTTCCCCCTCTACTTCTAGAACAATTCCCTCCGAATTGTTCCATTTCACTTCTTTCAGATTATATATATATATATATATATAATTATATGTTTTCTTTTAAAAGAAAATCTTTTTTACAATCAATGAAAACTATTCTTTGATGCAGTTAAAACATTCTTTCTGTTTCGCTGTTTCTTTTCGTGAAAAGTTTTTCTTTTATACATATATCTAACTCTTGTATGTAACAGAAGCTTAAAAAAATGTCCGTTTTTTTTTTTATGAAATAACATTGTTTCGAAAATATTAAAATCACATATAAGAATGGAGAAATTGTTCACAAACGTTAATTACAATAATACTTATGTACATATACCAATATTTTCTGATACAGATAAAGAGAACATTGGTGGATAGAATCTTTTTAAACTTTTAATACAAACAATATGATCTGATTAAATTATATTGTATTATTAGAGGACGAAAGAAGTGCCCGATCAAAACAAAGTTAAGAAAGGTCTCCGTCGAAGAGACAAGGACGTTCTCACGTGTGAGATGTGCCACGCGCGCGTGAAGAGGCTTCAGATGGGTAAACATTTGCTTTCCCATTACCATTGCCGTGTGGCGGGAGTGAATCCTTGCAGTCCAAATGCACGTCGCTTCCTGTTGGATAACATAGCGAATGTGGTACGACAATGTCCTTTCCAATGCGCTCCTTGTCGTTTTTACTGTAACACCGAGGAAACGTTCCTACTTCATTGGCGTTCTGATCTTCATATCAAGACCTTAGAAAGAGTGAGTGATCGATCGTTAATTATAGCAAGCGTGAAAATTTTTCAAATTTGTGCATTTATTTATTTATTTATTTTTTTTTTTTGGCGGAATATCTATAAATTCATGCATGTAGTTTTTGAATTATTATTTAATGTAAACACTAAAAATAGAGAACAAATAAAAAAATTAATTTGTCTCGATTGACTCGTGCGTTTGGATAATCAAATGCTTTTCATAATTTTTTTTTTCTTTTTTCTTTTTTCTTTCTTCTCAGAGTGGCGGTAGGTGCAGGTGCACTCCATGCGATTTTTGGTGCGAAGACAACGAGACGATGGAATCTCACCTTCTGAGTATAAGTCATCGTGACGTGGTATCGATGATGAACGGCTCGGTGCCGATAGTAATTAGTCGTCAACGAGCATTATTCTGCGGTAGTTGCAATCGGCAATTTCGATACAATTTCCAGCTACGATCGCACGCTAAAGAGACTGGTCACGACGCAAGTTATACCGCATCAGATGAATATCAGCAACGTATCAAATGCGATTTGTGTCCCCAAATTGTCCGGTCTTTGGTTGCGCTTCAACGTCATCAATTAATCTGTCACGTCGCCAAGGATAAAGAAAAGGACGAAGTCGCAGAGGCCGCGCAACCGGCGCCGTATTTCTGCTCGTTCTGCTCGATGAATTTCATCACCGCCCAAGAAGCAGTAGTGCATCGGAGAAGTTCTAGTCACAAAGAGGCTGTAAAAACACGCAAGATTCAGGAAGGATTATTGGAAACCGTGACGCGAGAGTGTCCTCACTGCGGCGAAAAGCAGTCAAGTCTTACAGCGCACAAAAGTCATCTTCTCCAAAATCATCCGGAACTTTGTCACAGGTAATTTAACAAATTATTATATACCATATATATATATATATATATATATAGTTTTCCCATACAGTTGTCCCATACAGAATAAAGCAACAATCATAGTTTCTAATTTTTCACAATATTTTTAGATACTCCGAATTATTAAAAAAGTTCATAATTACGGCATTAAATATAATGTCTACATACTTATATATCCTATAATTTTTTTTTTTTTAACAGATGTCCTCGATGCGGCATGCAGTTTGCCCTGTCGCAAGATGTCACTAGACATACACGAGAAGATAATTGTACCAAAGATAATAAATCAAATATGGCTAAAAGAATAGATATGAAAAAAGAATGGAAATGCAATGATTGCATCTTCTCAACGGATTCTCAAAGTGAATTCATTTTTCATGAAGCCCTCCATGCTGGTGCAGTTTCAACTGACAAAGAAATATCTAGTTCGAGCAAGTTATTACCGAAATATCGATGCCCGATTTGTAAGAAGCCCTTTGCGAAAGTTACGCTACGGAATCACATCAGACAGCATACTGGAGAGAAGCCCTTTCCCTGCGTCAAGTGTTCAATCTCATTCTCGAGAAGAGCGGATCTCGTCGCGCATCAAAGGATATGCGCTTCCTCGTCACCCGGATCCCTGGACAAAACTGGCCGTCGACGAAACTTCATCTGTTCAGAGTGCAAAGAAGGTTTTTATACAAAGTAAGTAATCTAATCTAATTGTTATTATTAAAATTGTTATGTTTCTCGTTCCATAAGTAACGTATTTGTTACCTCTTTCGTTTATTAACATTATTTAACATATAATTGCATTATGTTAATCATAAATATATTCACGCGATTCGAAAACGATACAAACATGCAAAAATTACAATTTATGCAAAATAATATTTTATATAGGATTGGATCTTTGATTGTTTAGATTGATTTTTGAACTATCGATCGAAATAGATTTATTGTTTGAAATATTATTTTCTTTGCTTTTGTTCGATTTGTTTTTATTCGACATACGACACGCTATTCTTTCGTGCAGCGTGACCGCTTTGTAATAAATAAAGGATATCGTATTCTGGAAGATGGGAGGGAAGGGAGAAGATGCAAAAACGCCTTCGGCAATAAAAGCATTCGCCGCGAGCTGGAACCGCGAAATGTTCGCGCGGTCGTAGTAAAAGTGTCCTCGCTGCATAACTATAAAATAAAGGAGCGTGGCCCAATGGAGGAGACTAGGTAGAGCGGATCGAAAACGCGCGAGAGAAAAGAAGCGAGGCGAACGTAAGACGTCGCGAACTGGAAAGAGAGAAAAAGAGAAATGGGGAGAAGAGACGCACATGCCCTAGCCCAATAACGGGCGTTGTATTAACATCTCATAACAATATATATATATCCATCGGTTATTTTACTATTTAATACAAGGTTCGATTATATAGCTCGCGAGAGTAGACATATGATGATGCCAATACATATGGATAATTAAAATACTCGTACATAAATCGGTAAATCGGCAGTTTTTTATATTTTATTATGCTATATATATTTTTGGAAAAAAATATATATAAAAAACAAAAAATACATTAGCTTCTAATATAGTTTCGATACGAAAACTCTATTTTAAAGAAAATAGTTTCGCTTATCTTTAAATTATTTATCGATTATCTTCGATGAATACAATTAATATCATATTCGACAACAAAATTTATTGGTATCAATTGTTTATCTGGAATGGAGAACATCTGCAGTTCCTATCACACACAAGATTGTAGGAATGTTCTGTTTAATATCCATTTGATACGCCTGATAAAACATTTTATTATATGAATGTAATATCAATCTATTATGAGTCTACGACACGAATCGAGATATATTTTGCTAATTCATAATATATAAAAAAAAAAAAATCATAACGTCATTTTATCAATAGCACATGTTTTCTGCCAAATTACGAAAAATGCACGTGCATGCACAGTTGCCAGCGTATTTCGGTATTTAACAAGCTTGCATTACGACAGATATATACCACATGTTCCTTTAATACTAACGTATGCAGATGAGCGCCTCTATGGCTGCTGCAATGGTGTTTGTGTATAAGTCACACGACGCACGTCGACATAAGTATTAAACCATTGCTCGTAGAGCGGTTGCTATAAAGCAAATGTTAACACCTCGGTCTTCTCTCCTCCTGTCTTTCCTCCGCCTTCGCTGCCTCCTCGGAGTTCTCACCATACACATTACCTTCTGTTACAACACTCAGCCACCGTCCTATTCTCCTATCCGAACGACTTCGAAGCCGAACGACCGGGCGAAAGTCTCAACATGCAACTCGAGTCATGAGGGTTTCGCTTGCCACGATTCCGACCATTTCGAGGGATTACGTTTGATAGTTTGGTCATTCTTTAGTTTTACATGCTTCAACGCTGATATCTTTTTCTCTTTTCCGATGTTAATTCATCCTCTGACAAAGCTTTCCGCTCGTTTCATATTCATTAAGAAAATTGGCAAATCCTCAAACTGTATTGTTACGTTACATTATTTCGAAAACTGCTCTGAAATTGTAATCGACGCCGTTCTAGTTATTATTATGTAATAAATAGTCTTATACTACTACACGAAAAAATTACTTTAGAAAATATATATAAATAATCTTATCACAGACAATTTTATTTTCTATATACACAGGCAGCTTACATACATCTGCATGTATTTCATCGTGGAAATCGCGATTATACATGGTCCAACGCCTTAAGAAAATCAACACTAGTTTTATAAAGTTTCAACGAGTCTTGATATTATTTAAGCGACTAATTTTACGATCCCGCTCAGCTTATCCTCGAAAATCACTCTCCATCCTCATCTCGACAAGACTCTCGGTATCACTTTCGTGCAAACTCGGACCATCTCTATGCAGACATCCTATAATCTTCCTTAGGACTTAGCTTACTATAGCTTGGAACGCGAGATCGACGTACCTGGAACTCGACATCCTGTTCCGAGCGAAAGGAGTTAGAAGTTCCAGCAAGCTACCTTGATTAGAACTCTCACCACCTCCACTTGTCGTTTCCACTTCGCCTTGTAATAGAAAAGGGAAGAGCAGCAAAGGGGGAGTATATGCGTCATCTTTTACAAGGGCCAGTTGGCAAGCTCGTTCGTTAACTCCAAGATGAGGCGTGTTCGTGAAAGAGTAACGTGCTGCGGGAAGTTATGGGAAAACCATGAGAAACGCAATGATGACGAGAAAAAAACCTTGTATAGGAACTAACTAGGAGGTTTTGCCCCTTGATCTTTTACTACTGGCTTTAATTCTTGTCTTCATGCACAAATTCGATAATTTTAATAACATTTCTTTTTTATTTCCTTTTTATTTTAATTCTTTCATAATAATTGGAGTAGCTTTTCTCTTTCTTTTTTTCTATTCTAAAGATATTTTCGAAATTTAGATATTCGAACATATGCAGCAAGATTTTATTACGCGCGGAAGATTTTTTGTGCAGAACATACGCATAAAGACGAAAGTATGCAAATCGTATTAGCTAGATCAATCCTGCTGGAGATAAAAAAAATTGTAATGAATCGAGAGTGAAGACTTGGAGAAGAAAAAAGTAAAAAAAAAAAAAAAAAAGAGAAACCAATTACGAAAAAACGAACTTGAATAGCAATAAATCGTGCATTAAACGATTCTCAGAATATATATACTTCTTACGATATATGCGTATATATTTGAGATAAAATATCATAGCAAGCTAATGCAAGATCAATTTTTTCTTAAAGCAGAAAATACAATAAAAAGAAATAATAAGAAAATATTCAAAAGAAATATACTTGCAAGACAATCTCATATTATCTGAAAATTTTTACTAGAACAATAATTGATTAGAAATTGTAATGAACGTTAATAACCTAACATAGGAAAATATTTTATTGCTAAAAAGAGGAATATGGAAAAAAATTATGATAAATACAGATACATATAGAAACAAATAATACAAGTACAAATGTGCAGTATCTCTGAAACGTTGCGTTTAGAAAGATTTACTTCGTCATCCCATACTTCTTTCTCTCCCTCCCTCTCTCTCTCTCTCTCTCTCTCTCTCTCTCTTGCAGAATTACTTTAATCAAACTTATCACATATCAAAATAGAATTAAATAAAATGGTAATTCTGTTAGAAGAAGATATGATTAGAGCCGTCGACAAAGTGTTTTTTCGGCAATTTGTACAAGTTGCCTAGCAGAGAAAATTAATGATGCCGCATTTCTCTCTTTCTCTCAGTTCACTTACACAAGATAATAAAATAATACAAAACTCTTTTTATGCATATATTCAGCAATAATGTATTTTGATGATCGAATCTTCAGCTCTCTTACACAACATGTCAAACTTGAAATAATTTTTAAACTTTAAATTCTTCCACATAATAATTTTTTCTTTTCCGGAAGTTTTATATTTCAGCGCTATGATCTTTTTAACATAAGCATTTTAATTGTCACGCTATTAACACAGATCTTTAAGTTCTGATTTGACAGTTCCGAATATAATTGAATTAACTCACAATGAAATATTCAATGTCTTACGATCGATCGTTCGGTATTTCTGCTTTGGCGATAACACGGTATTCCCTTTCTCCTCGGCGAGGTTCGTTACCTGTAAAACAAGACGCGTAGTCGCGTATGCAAGGTCGACGCAGCGCGGGAATAAAAGATGTCGGGGTGAACGTGACGATGGCGGCGACCATGCGGGGCAGAAAAGGAGCACGACGCGACGCCGGGCCGCGCCGCGCTCCGGATGGCGAACGAGGGGAATTCAGAAAGAAAGAAAGGGGGAAAGAAGGAAGGTAATTACGCGGTGAGACGGGCAGCTCCCGCGCACTCGATCGCCTAACCGATTCTCAGAATACGTGGCCGGCTCGCGATGTATGCGCATATTCAAGATAGTATGTTACATACGCGAGCTACTGACCATACGTTTCGCTCCTTCGTCCACCCCCGCGCGTCCTCCTTCCCCTGTTCGCTCACGGCCCTATCCAACCTCCGGCAACCCTCTCTTCCACGGACTCACGACGTATACGCGAGAGATCCCCAGAGGTATTTATATATATGGACCGCGGCCTGGCGCGCGCGTATCTTTTATCTTCTGTAGCAGTAATGGCGCGTCCACCTCTTCCGTATCTGGTCAGGTAAACAACGCATAGATAGGCATGGAGAGATCGGCGTAATCTCCTCGCCATCCGTTGATATCCTGTCGGACGACAGGATTCCGTGGAAAAATATGATGGCAAGGAACAATGCTTTCCTTCGATTAGAAAATTTAAATTACGAACTCAAATCTATAATATTTATATAAGATGTTTTACGCTTTTTTTCACCTACTAATTCTTTTAATTAATAGGACACAATCTTTTCTTAATCAAAATTTGATATAATGTTTTACATTTGTTCAGCATTCGATATGAATTTTGTGTTTGAATTTACTTTATTTAACTTTTATATTTGTAATTATGTCGTATGGATTTATTTTCTCTGCTTTAATTGATTTGGCTATATTGTGAAGTGACGTCCACATCTGTGATATAGATTCATGCTAGTTTTTGATTTTTTTTTCTCGCCGAACATCATTAACGCGTGGTGTCGTTTTTATGAATTATCCCATAGGCATTCCGACATACCCATAGACCCGTGCAACACCGTTTCGACGAGGAAAGATTTATTTGAGG